GAGAAGCAGGCTCCCTGCCAAGCAGGGAGCCCGATGCGGGACTCGATCCAGGGACTCCAGGATCATGACCCGAGCCGAAGGCAGTCGCTTAACCAACAGAGCCACCCAGGCGCCCAGATACTTAACTTTTTTAACATAAAAACTAAACTCAAAGTCAGAATGACTGTGATTTTTTTATATGAAAATTTTTAGAGTATTTTCCATGCATTTTGACTCAAATAGAAAATCTGTAAGAAAAAAGGTTTTATGAGTTGTACCATTTGGCAGACACTGTGGAATTAAGAACACGGTGGTGAATCCATGATACTTGACCTTATGGAGCTTACGAATCTATATGAAAGTTTCAATCTTCCAAGATTTTCATTTTCATCTTTAAATATTTGATATATAAGAAATTATTCATATTATTCTTATGCTACTTATTTCTTTTTGTTATAGAGCATTGGGGTTGCAGTATTTCTACTTTTTGTGAATTTGAGGTTTTCTTTACATCCTAGAATGCCACCCACTTTAAAAATTTTTGCTTGAGCATTTGGAAAATAACTGTATTTCTTCTTTGTGGTAGGAGTTAAGTCCTATGTGTATATTAGAGCAAGCTTATTATTAATTGTATTATTCTAATCTATATCTTTATTTTTTCTTTGTTTCCTTGGCCTGTGTAATTCTGAGGGAGGAGTTTTAACCTTCCAGAAGGATTGTAATTTTGTCAGGTTTTTGTTTTATTTCTAACATTAGCTTTTGCTTTTTATACTTGGATGCTATGTCGATTGATGCTGCAATGCTAGTAACCACTTTGTATGTAATTCCTTAACCATCTGAGCCACCCAGAATGTAATTCCTTCGTTAATTTAAAGAAAATATATAGTTCTTTTGTCCTGAGGCATTTTGCCGTGAATTCTAGTTTGCTTTATTATTACCATTGCTGTGTTTATTTTATTCATATTTTCCTTTGACTGTCCCTTTATTTTAAATGCTTTTAGATCATGTTTTTGTTGTGTCTTCTATAAATGCAAAAGAAATGTTTTTTTGAGAGAGAGACTTTATCTTTTTTTTTTACATTTTTTAAAATTTTATTATCATTAGTTTTTGATGTAGTGTTCCATAACTCATTGTTTGCATATAACACCCAGTGCCCCATTCAGTACGTGCCCTCTTTAATACCCATCACCAGGCTAACCCATCCTCCCACCCCCCTCCCCTCTAGAACCCTTAGTTTGTCTCTCTTTATCTTTTAATTGGGCAGTTCAATCTGTTTATATTTTTATTCGTGTTTTATTTCATTGTTCTTTAATTATTAGGAAGCTGAACATTTAAAAATCCATTTATTATTGATTTGTGAATTATTTGCTCATGTTTTTTGATTATAGGTCCAAAATGATTTATGTGATAATGAGTAATCTTTTGTATGTCATTTGTCTATTTTCTTTTTTTTTTTTTTTTTTAAAGATTTTTTTTTTATTTATAGAGAGGATGAGAGGAGAGAGAGAGCACATGAGAGGGGGGAGGGTCAGAGGGAGAAGCAGACTCCC